TTTTTTTAGCAAGGAGGTTTCACTATGTCACCCAGGCCGCTCTCAAACTCCTGAGCTCCAGTGATCCACCCACTCGGCCTCCCAGTGTGCCAAGATTACAAGCGTGAGCCACTGCACCCAGCTAGCATTTTTCTTAAACCAACCTCTGCGATCACTCAAATTGGTTGCACTCAAATCCTTGACTCCATGTCTGTTTCTTAGAAAACAAAACTTCAACATCAGACCTCAATGTCCTAACTAGTGCACACAGGGAGTTGAAGAAAATTCATTATCATCCCTACCAGAGAACTCAAAGGAGTGTCAAAAGGTTGGAAGCTGTGGAACCAAAGCTTCTCTCTAAATACCAGCCCTCTGAAGTGCACTGAACCCCAAAGAAGGAGAGCAAGAATCAATCTCAGGAGGTTCACCATGTGGCTGGCCTGCGCAACATCAGAGAAATTGAAGTGGTGGAGTCATCACCCTGACCAACATCATCGCCCTCAAATCTAAGGGAAAAGAATGCTGTAGTCTGCCATCTGTAAAGTTCTGCTTGTGAATCATGGATTCTCTTGTTTTGGGAGCAGGCTCTCGTTAGATCACCCTGCAAGCAATCATAACGCTGGCATCCCAAGTAGCACATACACAGAATGCAGATCCAGGAGTTAGAAAAATCTGCTGGTGATTTTGCAAGCAGAAAATCTATAATTGGCCAACATTAATTCAGTTAAATAGCAAATGGTCAAGGGTCACCTCCAAACACCCACTGCCTACAATTATGTGTTAACCTTCTAACTGGCTAATTCTGCTCTCAGCTCCCAGAGCAGGAAACTGGATATCCCATAGGAAGTAAGAAAGGTGAAATTTCTCCTGGAATCCTGAGCATAAAAAGTCAGGACTGAGAGAAGGCACAGTTAGTGGTGAGAAACAGTACTCCATGGGTGACCTGTGTTCTCCATCTTTGTCTATCTGTGGCTCAGTCTCGGAGATTACTTGGCAAGGCCTATTCAGGATTCCTCTAGAGTTACAAAAAATAAATAAATAAACATTTTTCAGTTGCTGACTCTTAGGAAAGTGGGGAGTGGTAGGAGAACTTCTGAAGGTACAATTTTATCTTTACAAATTCTTGGGACACTTCATCTACCAGACAAAATTAAAGTTAAATGATTTGTAACATAAAGGTACACAGTATACTCCTAGGCCGGGGTGACTTAGTGAGGTAAGAACTAGTCAAATCACTCATTCATTCACTCACTCCTCATGCATCATTCATTCACTTATTCACAAACACCTGCTAGACTCCTGGGATTCAGTGAGGACGTTGCTACACATCCAAAGCAATGACAAAAGTGCTACATAGAATAAGTAGTTGACAATTGTTCAAATATAATTATGGTCTCAAAAAGAAGAGAGGCATTAACAAATCATAATTTCAGTGATTCACCAAAATTAGAATTTAACTTAAAAGGAAAATACGGATCTCTTTGGGGGCATGTAAAAGTTAGGGTATAGGGAATTCTAACTTCATCTAGGGTATCAAGGAAAGCAAAACCACAAAAGAGACATTTCTACTGGGATCTCAAAGATGGTTAAGAATTATCACTGGTCATTAGAGAAATGCAAATCAAAACCACACTGAGATATCATCTCACGCCAGTTAGAATGGCAATCATTACAAAATCTGGAGACAACAGATGTTGGAGAGAATGTGGAGAAATAGGAACACTCTTACACAGTTGGTGGGAGTGTAAATTAGTTCAACCATTGTGAAAGACAGTGTGGCGTTTTCTCAGGGATCTAGAAATAGAAATTCCATTTGACCCAGCAATCCTATTACTGGGTATATACCCAAAGAACTATAAATCATTCTACTATAAAGACACATGCACAC